AGAGAGAGAGAGAAGACAGAGAGAGGTGGGGGGGATTAGGAAATAAACACTAGACGTAACACAAGAACACAAGAATGAAGAGACGATGGTGTTGCTTTGTCAAAGAGGTATCTTACATCTTGACAGCATACATTACTAAACATATTGATGAATAAGGCACTGTGCAACTTTTGGGTATCTGAACAACCATACCACGGGCGGGATTGAACCCCTGGTCAGAGGTCTCAAAACTCCAGACCGTCGCGTTTTGAGACTCTCTGACCGCGGGTTCAAATCCCGCCCGTGGTATGGTTTGTTTGCAATCGTGTCATTACGATTTCGTGAGTCTTGGTATCTTTATTGCTTCCGTATATACCTGAAACCCTTTGATTTGGTCTTTGATTCCCTCGCAACCTTATCGGTTAGGGTAAAGGAGCTATGTCAAGCTCCTGGAGAGCGAAACGTTGCCGCAATAAAATGTCGCATTAGTTGTACTTGTGTCTTTCTACCTAACATATTGTCGGTAACTCTACCAACATTAGCACAGCCTTATCGGTAGCGAGAACAATAAATTCTTTGAAAAGTGTTAGTTTGACGAAGAGCAAATCTGGTATCTCCTTCCCCTTTAACCTTTCACTCTTCAATCTTATCTCCCCTCTCATTCTTACTAATCTAACTTCCCTTCCACTAATCACTAACCCCGTCCCCCCCCATTCCTTCCCATCAGTCAATCCCACATCTTTCTTCCCCGGTTCTACTGGGTAAAGAAAATATTCAGATATTTACACTCTTGTTTATCATTAATCTCTGCATCTGTGTCACTCTGGATTTGCGTTTACACGAACCGTATTTAATAAATGTTTACGACTTCAGGAGTAGAAATATTGCTAGTTCCTATGGCGACAATTGTCCTTGATGCTACTGTGCATAATTTGCTCAGTATGGTTTAATATGCATTATATAATTATTATTATTATTATTATATTATTATTATTATAGTAGTAGTAGTAGTGAGAGTAGTAGTAGTAGTAGTAGTGGTGGTAGAAAGTAGTAGTAGTAGAGTAGTAGTAGTAGTAGTAAGTGGTAGTAGTAGTAGTGTAGTAGTAGTAGTGTAATGAGTATAGTGAGTGTAGTAGTAGTAGCAGTGGGCAGTAATAGAGTATGTATTAGAGTATAGTAGAGTAGTAGTAGTAGATCTGTGTTGTAATAGACTATTATTTTTACCATGCTTTTCTTACTATATTTTCATTGGGAACGCAAACCGTGGGGGTCATACAGCCTCTAAAAATGGGGAGGTAATCACTTTGATTCAAGGAAAGGGACGCTCCAATCCTTGGGTCCAAGGTTCCTTCGCCATCATTTGGGGTACCCACCGGGAAGGGATGTATCCTTCAGTGCAATCTTTCCCACGTTCCGGAAAAATTTCCCAGTGGAAAGGAATTACAGAGTTGGTGCATTAGGTGTTTTAAATACGGGAGGTTTAAAAGGGCCATCTACTACACGAGGTCTTTGAGGCTGAATGTAGCCTGACAACACCACAAAAACAATTTAACCCAAATATGGGACTTTGGGATTATAGTAATCTCTTAAATGTATACATACTGAGATGTAACATTTGAGTATACTCAAATGTATCATATATACACCGAGAGGTGTAATGTCCTTATCGTATATGCACTGAGAGTTTACCTTAACCCCTATTCTGGGGATTAAACCATACTTGACTGAAAATGAACGTGCAGCCTTAATGAATCTTGTGCACTTGATAACCTTTAAACCTAAATGACCACCCACTCACCCTCCACGTGTATATAGACTGTTTCTCTTGCACACATACGTCAGGAAATTTTGCACTTGTCAGAATAAAAAATAGGACAGCAAAACATTGAAGATTCATAAAGGATTATACTGTATAAGCTCAATCATGGACAAAGAAGGAAGTTCAGGGTTGTTTGGACTGGAAATCGGCTTTTTTCCTCAGGAATCGAAGGGGGTTCTGCTAACAATAGTGATGGTAACTCACAGGTAACAGCCAATGCTTTTGTTGGGTCTTTGGGCTAGGGAGGAGCTTTTATTTGTGCGGAAATTCCATTTGTCAGCGGAACTGGTGTGGTATACGTGTTTGTTTTAAATAATAATGTATAACATACACTGAAACGTGAACGTAAACTGACACATAAACACACTGACACATGAATATACACAGACACAAACATACAGGTCAAGAACGTCAAGAAGTTAGAGAAAGTACAAAGGTTTGCAACAAGCCTAGTTCCAGAGCTTAGGGGAATGTCCTACGATGTAAGGTTGAGGGAAATCGGACTGACAACACTGGAGGACAGAAGGGTCAGGTGAGACATGATAACGACATACAAGATACTGCGTGGAATAGATAAGGTAACCAGAGACAGGATGTTCCAGAGACGGAACACAGAAACAAGGAGTCACAATTGGAAGCTGAAGACTCATACGAGTCACAATGTTAGGAAGTATTTCTTCAGTCATAGGGTCGTCAGGAAGTGGAATAGCAAGTGACGTAGTGGAGGCAGGAACCATACATACCTTTAAGACGAGGTATGACAAAGCTCAGGGAGCAGAGAGAGAGAAGACCTAGTAGCGACCAGTGAAGAGGCGGGGCCAGGAGCTGAGTCTCGACCCCAGCATTCACAATTAGGTGAGTACAATTAGGTGAATACACTGACACGTAAACATACACTGGCACATAAACGTAAACCTACGCACGAATATACACTGAGACACGATAATACACTGACACAAACATACGCTGACACATAAATATACACTGACACATGAACATACATACACTGACACATGAACATACATACACTGACTCATGAACATTCATACACTGACACATGAACATACATACACTGACACATGAACATACATACACTGACTCATGAACATACATACACTGACACATGAACATACATACACTGACACATAAACATACATACACTGACACAAACATACATACACTTGAACATAACATAAATTGACACATAAACAGACAATGACATAATAATACGACATAAAGTTAGCAGTACTAATATTATTAAATTCGTGGCACACGGTACAGCGCTCAGCTCTTAAGGATCACGAATGGGAACTGGAATTTCCATACATGAGGCTCCGAACATAGGTTTCCACATGTAAGTTTCCAAACATGAGTTTGAGTTTCTAAATATAGGCTTCCTAACAATGAATATTCAATAAATAACAGTGTGACTCTGTCCATGGTCCAAGTCGGACCGAAACGTCGTCGTAAGCTTCTCTCTTTTATGTGCGGGTTATTTGTGTATGAATATTCAAACAAGGTGTGACATCAGAGGGCAATTCATTCCTCGAAATCTAGGATAATTCAATTATTATTATTATTATAATCAAGGGGAAGCGCTAAACCCGTAGGATTATACAGCGCCTGGGGGGGGGATGTGGAAGGCATTCAAGCCTGAATTCGGGGAACTGGAGCACAGATCCAATTCCCTAAATCAAGAGCCCCTCACCAACAACAAGGAACCTTCCCTGAGGGGGAAGGATAATTCAAGACTTGCTTTGCTAACTGATGGAATAATTAAGGACACAGGAGACCTGCAGAAGTGAAGTACCTGCAGCCATCTAGAATCTTATTATTGCAAAAGGAAGCGTTAAATCAGTAGGAGTTTTGCAGCGCTTCGAGACTGGGAAGTAATCAGATTTGACCCAAGGAATGGGAGAGGGAATAGCTCCCATCCCTCACGTCAAGAGCCCTTCACCGATATCAAGGCGCCATCAGGGTTAAATTTCTAATAATCAATCTTCCCAAATCTCGTGTCTCAGTGCACAGTACGTACTAGGCTGTTATTGCGAGGATAATTCATTCGGCGGTTCTACGAAAAACCGGTTTTTACAAGTCTTACAATTTCCCGCTGATGTTACACCAACACATTGAGTTCAGAGTGTGCTACAACGCATTAAATAAAAATTAAGAGAATTAAGAGACTAGTTTCCGCTGGCTCAGCTGTCATAACGCAACGTGCAGCATACTGATGGGATTCCCTCAGGAACTGGGAAGGGGGGTAGGTGGATGAAGAGAAACCTTGATGCTGGTGAAGGGATCTTGATCTTGCACCTACTCCCCTCCTTCCTCGGATCAAACCTATTATTATTATTATAATCAGGGGAAGCGCTAAACCCGTAGGATTATACAGCGCATATGGGGGGATGGAAGGTACATTCTCAATTCAGGGAACAGGAGCACAGATCCAATTCCCTAGATCAAGAGCCCCTCACCAGCGTCAAGGAACCGCCCTTGAGGGGCGGATCAAACCTAACTGCTTCAAATTTCCCAACGCTCTATTTCATCTTTACGGGTTAACGCTTCTGATGACTATATTAATATGTATATATCATTATTATAATCATAACTAACAACTAGACCTAATATGTAGAAGTGTTTCGACTTCTAAGTTATTCGAGAGGTGTCCTCACTGTATCAGTGGCAAAGAAAAAATTCCATTGTCTCCCCTGCTCGAGCATAAAGTGTTTTCTTTGTTGTACTTTTAAAGAAAACATACATCTATTAGGGGTAGCTTCGGTAAAATATTATAATATTAGTAAGAGAGTAAGCAAACAAGCAAGGTTTTGAGAATTGGTATCAGATGTGGCGATCAAGGCATATTCTAGACAAGAGGATAAACACAAGAGATGTCTCTAGAGTCTGTGTTGATCACCTCAACCGACATCAATAGGCTAAACCGTTGACACATTACTCCAAAAGCTGATTTAGGGACCTGATGTAATAGGCCCCACTACCCTGTTTACTAGTCTTCATGTCACTGCCTTTCACATAGTAAGTTTATCGAGGCACAGGTACACATAAGTGCAGTTATCATACACAATGTAAATTACCTAGGATAACCTTAAAAAAAATTAAGAAAAAGTGATTGATTTCCATCAGGATCCTTGACCAGTTTCATATTTATGTATTCATAGTAATTTGATAAAATAAAACTCCAGCGTGAAAGAAATCTCATTAATGTATTGAAAGTTCCAGATCTTACTCAAATCCATAACATGGTAATCCGCATACATATACCGTACTGCTATAAGGAGAAAATATATTTGTCATTAGTTATTTTAACGCAAAATGGTGGAAATATAATTAGGTTGAAAGTGCACTGTGAAAATTATAACATAAAAATAGAATGCTTCAGTTGTGCTGGACGGGAGAACTTTAACAAATATGGTCAAAGAGACACTAGATTGTTAATTTCTTTCCTTTTTTTTTTCTATTTATGAGTTATAGGTGATCTTTTATTTTGATAAAGTTTGAGGAAAAGAATAAAATACTGACTGGGATTAGTAGACAACATTCTAAGCTTCTTGATGCCAGTTTTCTTTACTTCCTGAGCTGCGAGGTGTACCGTTGTTACTTCCTGAGTTACGAGGTGTACCGTTGTTACTTCCTGAGTTACGAGGTGTACCGTTGTTACTTCCTGAGTTACGAGGTGTAGAGTTGTTACTTCCCGAGTTACAGGGTGTAGCGTTGTTACTTCCTGAGTTACGAGGTGTAGCGTTATTACTTCCTGAGTTACGAGGTGTAGCGTTGTTACTTCCTGAGTTGCGAGGTGTAGTGTTCCTTCCTGAGACCGAACAGTAGTGTCACAAATTCCGCTTGGTTCTTCTCCAAGATGGCTGCGAACTGGGTCTCTAACGTCAATCGGTACCAGATTTTTTCATTCACTGAGAGAAACTCGGCTCCACCAGCACTGTTGAGGATATATCAAGGATTGAACGTTGAAGATGCAACAGCAGTGACGAGAAAAAATGAAACAATGTTGCCGAGAAAGGTGGATAGAGATAAGGAACCGGCCCTTGCCTTTCCTTGAATCAAACCCGATTGCTTCCAATTACTCAGGGGATATATGACCCCCCTACGGGTTTAGCGCTTTCTCCCATAATAATAATAATTAACATATATTTGCCTAACTTATTTTGAAAGCTTTCAAAAGCAATCCCCTCAGGAGTGATTAACTGAAGTCGGTAAAGGCCTTCTGATCCAAGGAATTGGATCTGCCTTCCCCTTCCTTGGATCAAACTATATTGTTTCTCATTACTTAGGGTAAGCGCTGTACGATTTTAAGCTTCTCGTGTTCCCATCCCCCCTTAAATGTAATAATTATGTTGGCAAATAGGGTTTAAAGCCTATCGACTTCACTGGGTTTAGACAAAAATATACTGAAATCCCTAAAATAGCGATTAAAATAAACTTCCAGTATATTTACCTTCAGAGTAATACACCTCGCGATATATAAATCGTAATAAATAAATAAAAAAGTGTTTGTTTCCTTAGCAATTCGTTGCATTCATCTGCAACTCTACTGTTAACTCAATTCTTTCCCATATTATTTCTAAATCTAAATTCCACTAACTCCCTGCCCCAGGACATCTACTGAGTGCTCGTCTTGCGGTCTGACAATAGCATCCTGAAGCTACTACCAATGATAAAAAAATAATGACTACAATTAAATAATTCATAATCATAGTGTTAGTATTAGTAATAAATTGTCCTCTGATCGTCTATGGAAATTATTGACTTACCAGTCAGGTGAGAGCCACTCAGAATGGATGTTCACCTTGCATTTCCGGCCGGATTCTATTTCGTATTCAGTAAGCGCATGGGATAAGTACGTCTGTACAATGTCCGTATCGGCTTCTCTGATACGTATAAATATGCGTGATTCATTCATCTGTAAATGAAGACAAAACTTTCGATAACACATTGAATCTTGCTTCGGTGGGAGACTGCCGACGTGTTAAATATATATATATATATATTTTTTTTTTTTTCAACAAGTCGGTCGTCTCCCACCGAGGCAGGGTGACCCAAAAAAGAAAGAAAATCCCCAAAAAGAAAATACTTTCATCATCATTCAACACTTTCACCACACTCACACATTATCACTGCTTTTGCAGAGGTGCCCAGAATACAACAGCTTAGAAGCATATACGTATAAAGATACACAACATATCCCTCCAAACTGCCAATATCCCAAACCACTCCTTTAAAGTGCAGGCATTGTACTTCCCATTTCCAGGACTCAAGTCCGACTATATGAAAATAACCGGTTTCCCTGAATCCCTTCACTAAATATTACCCTGCTCACACTCCAACAGATCGTCAGGTCCCAAGTATCATTCGTCTCCATTCACTCCTATCTAACACGCTCATGCACGCTTGCTGGAAGTCCAAGCCCCTCTCCCACAAAACTTCCTTTACCCCCTCTTTCCAACCCTTTCGAGGACGACCCCTACCCCTCTTTCCTTCCCCTATAGATTTATATGCTTTCCATGTCATTCTACTAATATATATATATATATATATATATATATATATATATATATATATATAATATATATATATATATATATATATATATATATATTAGGAGTCTGTGGAGACAAAGAACTTTGTCCTTGGAGGCAAAGAGAGGAATGTATGAGAGCATAGTTTTACCAACGCTCTTATATGGGTGTGAAGCATGGGTGATGAATGTTGCAGCGAGAAGGCTGGAGGTAGTGGAGATGTCATGTCTGAGGGCAATGTGTAGTTTGGAAGTTAGGAGGAGGTGCGGGATTACCAAGAGGGCTGAGGAAGAGTTGTTCAGGTGGTTCGGACATGTAGAGAGAATGGAGCGAAACAGAATGACTTCAAGAGTGCATCAGTCTGTAGTGGAAGGAAGGCGGGGTAGGGGTCGGCCTAGGAAAGGTTGGAGGGAGGGGGTAAAGGAGGTTTTGTGTGCGAGAGGCTTGGACTTCCAGCGGGCTTGCGTGAAAGTGTTTGATAGGAGTGAATGGAGACAAATGGTTTTTAATACTTGACGTGCTGTTGGAGTGTGAGCAAAGTAGCATTTATGAAGGGGTTCAGGGAAACCGGCAGGCCGGACTTGAGTCCTGGAGATGGGAAGTACAGTGCCTGTATTCTGAAGGAGGGGTGTTAATGTTGCAGTTTAAAAACTGTAGTGTAAAGCACCCTTCTGGCAAGACAGTGATGGAGTGAATGATGGTGAAAGTTTTTCTTTTTCGGGCCACCCTGCATTGGTGAGAATCGGCCAGTGTTAATAAAATATATATATATATATATATATATATATATATATATATATATATATATATATATATATATATATGTCGTGCCGAATAGGCAGAATTTGCGATCTTGGCCTAAATAGCAACGTTCATCTTGCCATATAGGACAAGTGAAAATTTGTGTATGCAATAATTTCGCCAAAATCATTCTGAACTTAACGAAAAAAATATATTTCACTGTGTTTGTTTATTATTAAATTACTGTAAACAAATCTAAAATATATTTAGTTGTGTTAGGCTAAAATAAATTGTTCTTGTTATAATAAGGTTAGGTAAGTTTTCTAAGATTCTTTTGGTGCAAAATTAATTTTTTTTACATTAACATTAATGAAAAAAATATATCTTTAAACGTATAAGAGAAAATTTTAGAAAGGACTTAATTTTAAATGAGTTCTTGCTAATTGACCAGTTTTACATATTCGGCACGACATATATATATAGATAGATAGATAGATATAGATAGATATCCAGGCCTAGTAGTCCAATAGAGTTCACTCTATTGGAGGATTTTCAACATTTTTGTGTTGCGCCGCGGTAACCATGCCAGGGTCACTAAGAAACAACGTAGCCAATTCACACTCTTCTGCAGGATGCTAACAGATACTTCGGCAGCTCATCAGCCACAACAAACCTATTGGCAAGTGGCAAACACCATTCTCTGGATCTTGGTATTTCTACTCCAACCCTCCACATTCTCTTCCCCGTAGCTGCCTAGCATTGAAACAAATTAAGAAAAAAATTGAGGGGAAAGTATTTTCCCCAATTGGTAGTAACTAATAACAACGTTGGTAAAACACACCTATAATCATAACAATAATTTGAAGTTGACACAAAACTAGGCTGAATACTGTTTATAGCTTTGTACCGATGATTTACAGTCCCATTGTTATGACTTGCTCCTGTATAGGAATTGCTTGTGTTAGCATTCTAAGCTATGGTGACGAGGTTGCAATTCCTGCCCTATCTGATAAAATTAACGAATATCATAGCTGGTAAATATACTGCCCAGATCTAGGCTCTGGCAGAGCGGAGAAAGTACTGTGTACTTTGATACAGAGTGTGCAGGTTCGAATCCTGCTGTGGACTCAGGGATAATGTTTATATATATATATATATATATATATATATATAATATATATATATTTTTTTTTTTTTTTTTTTTTTTTTTTTTTTCAACAATATATATGTGTGTGTGTGACAAGCGTGCAAATTATTTAATTTTTATACTCCATATAATACTCATACAACTTACGTCAACGAAATGGTATTAAGGTTTAAAGTCTGTTCTGAATATTCATAAATATTTTCAAGTGCCTTCACAAGCATCACGGTAACCCCCTTAATTAAAGGGACGAGCTTACGGCAGAGTCCCATACATAACAAGATTTATCCAATAATTATATAATCAAATTCGCGGTAGTGTAATATGCCTAACTGGCACATTTATGAAATCCAATAAGATATATTCCAGGTATACCTTGCACATCCCCGCAGCTAGGATATTGAGGAAGATTTTTGGGTAAACCAGAGGCTCCGTTAAAGACTTGAGCAACTTCAGCCATGCCAGCTCCTTCACCCTCTCCATTTGTTCAGCCTTCTTCGTTATCACTTCCATATGACTCTGCCTCTTTAGCTGACGCTCATAACTGCGAAAAGCAAGTATATAGTGTTAATTCACCAGTACTAAATTGTATTTATTTAGACGTCGTCGCAAGCTCCTCTCTCTTATATGCGGATTATACTGGCCAAAGGCTGCCTCTTAAGTTACACATGCACCAGAATCATCTCAAAACATTCTGAATACCCCAAGTCTGTGGAAAATCTGCTGTATGGAAAATAAACACTTTGTATAACAGCATTTCTGGAAACTTTGGCTTCAAGTTGAAAAAGTCGCAATAATAATGATAAAAACTATGTTCACAGCTCAACCGCATAACTTTAGAGAGAATTGTGAACTGTTTCAAAGCCCATACGAGAATAGAGGAGATATGATAAGCACATAAAAAGTTATAAATGATCAATAAAGTCTAGGTCAAGGCGATTGTTTTCATAACAGCAACATGGGTAACTAGAGATCAAATTTGTAAATCGATAAAAAAAAAGTGGAACCGAAAGGTTACTGGAAAAATTTTCTTCGCAATCAAGAGTGACAGATCAATGGCATAAATTAAAAGAGGGGCGTGGTACGTGCTGCAACCACGAACACCAAGAACACAACTTTGATTTTGTAGCTACAAATCGGTAATTACAGGGCGACGCACATCGTGACATGGCAAAACACATATGGTGACCTCACCCACTCAAACGAAACTTCAGCATCTTCTCCTTCTTCTCGTACTCGCAGTTGAGATCCTGCACACCTTGAGTGACGAGAGTGGCCTTGTCTAGCTGGCACTGCTCCTCAGTCTCTTTCTCTATCTTCTCCACTTCCAACTTTCCTTGCTCCTCGATGAAAGATTCCATCTTGGCAATCTATAACAGATACATACAACATGATTTTAGCAGAAAAACATACATCATGATTACAACGATACATACATGACTGCCGACTTGTCTGTTTATACACACACACACAACACACACACACACACACACATATATATATATATATATATATATATATATATATATATATATATATATATATATATATATATATATAATATAATATACATACATATATATATATATATATATATGTATATATATATATATATATATATATATATATATATATATATATATATATATATAATATATATATATATATATATATATATATATTCTTTATTTATTTATTTATTTATTGAGGCCTGGTCACGGACCGGGCCGCGGGGCGTTGACCCCCGGAACTCTCTCCTGGTAAACTCCAGATACTTCTGGGGTAACTAACGACACAAAAGCACTTGTGTTTATGTGCGCATATTATAAACACTTATATAATAAGAATAATTCCTATACAATAATATTATTTTAACCTAATATAGGACGGTACTAAGAATAAAGAATATATCACAATTATGCCAGAAATGCAGGTCTGAATATACCGTACATTTTTACTAATTCTCAAATCATTTACTAGACGATTTTCGTTGAACCTCACAAATAAACATTAACAAAGGTGTGTACACCAAGAATAGCACATATATCAGCGTATATACACCTAGAGTTTACCTTTATCCCTATTTTAGGAATTTACAGGTTGTCTTCAGCACAAATAGTTCTAGTGTAGTGAAAAGGCTTTGAACCGAATACACCAACCAATACAAACGTCGTTTCATTACAAATTATAACAAAACTGTGAAAGTCAGACCATCTGTAGATTGTAAATATTACAGAAGTACCACAGAGCTATTGCCTTGATTAGTACAAGTTTCATTCACGTTAAACAATTTTACATTTAGCTACTTATGAGAGTTAACGCTTCAAGGGGGTGTTGCCTTCATGCCGACGAAGGGTTCTTGATGCAAGGAACTTGAGCTACTCTTGTACCTGAATACCTTCCATTCATCAAGCGCGGACTGAACACTTGACCATTAATGTAATAATAATAATAAAAACGATGATAAATCATTAGGGAAAGCCTAGTTTCCCTTGATATTTCTACGTTGTCTAGCCACGACCGACTTAAGCACAGTTTCATTTTAAACAAGTATGGAGTTCAATATTAGGAAAAAAAAACTAGGCTATCAACAAGTAGGCAATCCACTTTTTCCACTTGGTTATATTTTTAATTAAATCCACTAAACTAGCCATTCAGCTGGGTTTTAACAGCTAATATTGTCAATATTCGATTTTTTTTTGACTTCCTGTTGCTAAATAAATTTAGGCCAGAGTTACTGAGTCAAGTTATTATTAAAGATTAGCCGGTATTCTCCCGGCCCGGGCCTTTTCCAAGTGGTGGCCCGGCCTTGGCTCCCTCTTTAGGGAGTGTCTGAGACCTAAGTCTCCCATGGGAGGAGGCACAAGTACCTCCTCATCTTTGGGACCAACTGTCCCCAGGCCTAGCCACAAGCTAGGCCTCTCTGGTCTGCCATCCCCGCCTCAAGGGGGCAAATGGGAATGACAGTCTTATGAGCTAAAGGCTCGGGCTCAGGCACCTACCCTACCCTAGAAGGGCTGGGCATGGTGTCGATCCTGAGTCAAGTATAGCACAAAAAAAATACTAGCATTGGAAATAAAAATATTTTATGATTACTATGCATTTATATTAAGAGCAACTAACGCTACAATGTGCATACATGAATAAGCCAAACAGATGTATTTTCCACAGTTGTAGAAAAACTGTAGAATAATTATTATTACTAGGAGAATAATTATTCTTCTAGTAATACTTATCATATTACAAGGAGAATAATTTATATATTTTCAGGTCACTGTGCTTTCCAGCAAAGAACAACATTAACAATAAAAAACAATACTACTATTATTATAATTCTTACTACTCTACTACTACTACTACTACTACTACTACTACTACTAATAATAATAATAATAATAATAATAATAATAATAATAATAATAATAATAATAATAACAATAATAATAATAATAATAATAATAATAATAATAATAATAATGTTTACAACTTTTTTATACCTATCTACGCTACTGAAAAGTTAAATGTCAAACCTTGTATTAATAATTTTCCAATTTCTTAGCATTTGGTTTGCCTAAATAGTATATAATGAAAAAATAGTTTGTGGCTACACAAGATATATACATTGTGAAACGTAATTCTCTCAGCGTATATACAACGAAGATCTACGTTAACATGCGTAGCGGTCAGAACGTAGATCTACGTTTTTTACATGCTTTCTAATGGAGAAAATAAAGGTTGGAGCGCTATGCACGTGAACGTAAATCTACGTTTGGACAGTTTAAGGGTTAATACCTGTTTTAGAGATTAAAGCATTCTTGTGTTGTGGTTATGTTAATGACCTCTGGTGCAGTCGATAGGCTTTCAACCCCCCCCCCTCCCCGTTAACCCACCAACCATGGCTACAAAACGATCAAATTACAACACATGCCCCTTAGCAACACTGCAGCTCACATTATTATTATTATAATCAAGGGGGAAGCGCTAAACCCGGAGGATTATACAGCGCCTGGGGGGGGGGGATGTGGAAGGCATTCAGGCTTAATTCGGGGAACTGGAGCACAGATCAAATTCCCTAAATCAAGAGCCCCTCACCAACATCAAGGAACCTTCCTTGAGGGGACTGCAGCTGACAAATATCAGACTCGCATTTGGAACAAAAGGTAAATCATGACTTACAATCTCTTCATCCTTCTCCTTACTTCCAATAAATTTCCTCCACAGGAACATTTCGAGTGTTTTCTCGAGGTTTACCAGTGCCACAATGCGTTAACGAACAACAGCTAAAAGAATTGTGTCGTAAAGAGTGAGAGGTAATGGCATCCAGGGAGGTCTTGTGATCAGTTCCTCTCACAACTGACGTCGTCAGCTGACATTGTTGACAACTCCAGTTGTTCAGTCAGCCTCACCTGCCTATTTGTTTTTTTATCGTACTGTATAATAAAAATGAATATTTTTACTTCATGAATAATAATAATATAATACTAATACTACTACTACTACTAATAATAATAATATATTTATTATTGTTAATTTTGTTTTGTTTATTATTATTATTATTATTATTATTATTATTATTATTATTATTTATTATTATTATTAATTATTGTTTTTGTAATATAATTATATTAAATATTGTTATTATTATTGTTGTTTTTGTAATTATTATCATCATTAATATTATTAGCATTTTATTAATGATAACCAACAAAATACATCTCTCCACTTAAGATGTAACAAAACGAAAGGGAGAGAGAGAGAGAGAGAGAGAGAGAGAGAGAGAGAGAGAGAGAGAGAGAGAGAGAGAGAGAGAGAGAGAAGAGAGAGAGAGAGAGAGAGAGAGAGAGAGAGAGAGAGAGAGAGAGAGAGGCATATAAGCGAATAAATCAATAAATAAGAGCAGGTGTATAAAAAAATTGGGGGGAGGGGAAGTGCCCAGCCATTGACCGCTGTGCCTGGCTGCGGCAGACCAGGAGCGGCTTGCTGATTGGTCCTCTGGCGGCAACCACGTGACATATCGACGTTACAGCGACACTTCGTTATGACCGCTGGCACGCCATCTGTCCTCTCACGCCCTGTAGCTAAACTCGTCTGGGACGTGTGGCTAAACTGGTCTGTTAGCTTTGGGTAAACTGGTCTGGAACTAGTAGGTAAACTGGTCTGGAACTAGTAGGTAAACTGGTCTGGAGCTAGTAGGTAAACTGGTCTGGAACGAGTAGGTAACTGGTCTGAACTAGTAGGTAAACTGGTCTGGAGCTGTAGGTAAACTGGTCTGGCTAGTAGGTAAACTGGTCTGGAACTAGTAGGTAAACTGGTCTGGAACTAGTAGGTAAACTGGTCTGGAACTAGTAGGTAAACTGGTCTGGAACTAGTAGGTAAACTGGTCTGGAACTAGTAGGTAAACTGGTCTGAAGCTAGTAGGTAAACTGGTCTGGAACTAGTAGGTAAACTGGTCTGGAACTGGTAGGTAAACTGGTCTGGAACTAGTAGGTAAACTGGTCTGAAATTAGTAGGTAAACTGGTCTGGAACTAGTAGGTAAACTGGTCTGAAACTAGTAGGTAAACTGGTCTGGAACTAGTAGGTAAACTGGTCTGGAGCTAGTAGGTAAACTGGTCTGAAACTAGTAGGTAAACTGGTCTGGAACTAGTAGGTAAACTGGTCTGGAACTAGTAGGTAAACTGGTCTGGAGCTAGTAGGTAAACTGGTCTGGAACTAGTAGGTAAATTGGCCTGGAGCTAGTAGGTAAACTGGTCTGGAGCTAGTAGGTAAACTGGTCTGGAACTGGTAGGTAAACTGGTCTGGAACTAGTAGGTAAACTGGTCGGGAAACTAGTGGGTAAACTGGTCTGAATTAGTAGGTAAACTGGTCTGGAACTAGTAGGTAAACTGGTCTGAAACTAGTAGGTAAACTGGTCTGAAACTAGTAGGTAAACTGGTCTGAAATTAGTAGGTAAACTGGTCTGGAACTAGTAGGTAAACTGGTCTGAAACTAGTAGGTAAACTGGTCTGGAACTAGTAGGTAAACTGGTCTGGAACTAGTACGTAAACTGGTCTGGAACTAGTAGGAAAACTGGTCTGGAACTAGTAGGTAAACTGGTCTGGAGCTAGTAGGTAAACTAGTCGGGAACTAGTAGGTAAACTGGTCTGGAGCTAGTAGGTAAACTGGTCTGGAACTTGTAGGTAATAATAATAATAATCAAAATAATAATAATAATAATAACAACAGAGCATCAGCATTATTTCAATGGAACAAAATACCTGCCGAATAATTATATCCGTGAAGAGGCAAACCCTTACGGGTCTTCTTCCTGTTCACCCACACCTAGCATTTTCGTTTAGCATTATAATTCCGGGAAAAGCCTAGCCAAAAAAAATAAAAATAATGCCCGAGGAATGGTCAGACAATCACATCTGATCTGTGGAAAATTGACATTAATGAACTTTCTTTAATTTTTAATGGAGAAGCACTAAACCTACAGGAGTCGTCACTGTGTATAACAGAAATAATGAACGAATGTTCTTCCCACTATGTAGCTATTATTCAGCATAAGGCAGCAGCACACTGCTGTATCCAGTCTTGTCTAATTTAAAAATTACAAATTGAAGATAAGTGTAAGTATCATATAGCTTCACTTAAGTGAATAGTTTGGGTGGATTTTATAACAGTTTAGGCAGACACATGATTAGGGATAAGTGAAGAAATGCATAACCAATGAACACAATGTATCGTCTATTCACACTAGGTTTGCTGTATACTTATTTATGTTAAACAAAGCCAAACTGATCTGTTATTGCGAACTTAGTATACCGAGGCTGGTCAACCGGTACGAAGATGAATAAACTCGATATACGTGGTGTGGTGAACCCGTTGCACGGAGGCTAGTGAACCGGTACAACGAGACTTGTAAACATGGTATACCGAGGCTGGTTAACCCGTTGCACCGAGACCTGGTCAAGGACTGGGCCGCGGGGGCATTGACCCCTGGAACACCCTCCAGGTAGGCTACTGAACCGGTACAATGAGACTTGTAAACTCGGTATAGCGAGGCTATTGAACCCGATACACCGAGGTTAATCAGTGACCCCGATACACCAGACAGAAATTACCCAAGAGCTGAGGAAGCTGGAGGTTAAGTCGCAAGCATCCCAGAGCCATCAGTCTCCCACATGAGCTCCCAGAGACGAGCCATGAAGGATGGCCTCACAGCGTCCGGGTTGTCGCGGCAGTCTGGGTGGACATCCTGCTCCACCGTCTCATTTCCCTCACTAATTGGGTTGCGAGGATTTAGGTGTAAACTTGGTGGTTGTGGCCAGCGGTGTGGTCACACGCTGGCGGCCAGGTCCTCTTTACGGCCCCCTCCACCGCCACCACACACTCCCACACACGCACACAAAACACCCAAATTCCAAATAACAACACCTAATCTATAGACGTTTTAAACACTTCCAGCACTGATGAATACTGTTATAGAGATGGATCCTCCAGAGAGAGGGTTTAATGCTATGTTTCAACTACTCAAATTCCAAAACGCTGCAGAAAGTAAAATTTGTTTTGACGTTTGCAATACTGGACTCGGCTGGTCTTTATGGCCTGGGGTGGCGACTTTCTTGGTCTTGTTCAGCAGGCGACATTGTGCCCTAGCGCCTCAGGGCGGAAGGTTCATAATGGCTTGCTGTCTGACTTGCTCCTCTCTGGAAGTGTAATTTTTCTTTTACAAATATTCCAAAAGGGGGAAAAAGGCTGTTGAATGGTGTGGAGTCCTTTTTTTTTAACTCACGAAATAAATAAGAATCGATTTAGCCTTAGTGGTGAGTGTGTGGAGTCCCGTGTGCGGCGTCTTGTACGTGTGCTTAGGGTGCCTGTTCGATATTTGTGATTGCAAGGTCGATTTCAGCTCCGGCCAGCTTTTTGCCGCTTGTTTCGTTTATCCCTTCTTGCCCGGGTTGTGTCAACCCTAATTCTGGGAAGGTGTGTTCCCGGGTGTCAACGCGCCGGCCGGCCTCTATGAACGGCCCCCTCCACCGCCAACACAACACTCGAATCAAACACAGCAGTATCCAGATACAACACCAATCAAACTTTTATGAACCTTCAGCACTGATGAATCAAGGTACCTGAATTTAGGTTTTTCTACTCCAAACTCCAAACGTTTGAGAAATAAAATTGTTGACGTTTGAATACTGCCGTTCTTTATTGGATAGGTGGCGATTTCTTGTCTGTCAGACCTCGCAGGCCAGCTGCATACAAGTGATATCTAAGGCTGCTTTTCTGACTTGCTCCTTTCTGAAGACTTTTCTGTTACACAAATAACCCCAAAATAAAAGAGAGAAAGCTGTAGACGACGTTTCTCCGAGATTGGGAAACCATTGCCTTAAGTCTACAGTATTGCCGGGGTGCGTGCGTCTGTGTATATGGCAGGAAGTGCTGTTTCGAGTATTAGTATTAGGGGTCGAGTTTAGCTACTGGCATGTCGCGTAGTCGTTATTTCGTCGTGTAGTGTAACTATTAGTGTACGGGGAAGGGGTGTACATAATACCGCAAGTGAAATTAAAAACCCATCAACCAGCGCCCGGCCGCCCGATACCACCCCTCGATCAGTACTGATTTAGTATCTGTCCAATCCAGCCAGGGGCCCATTGATGGAGGGAAACGTCCAGTAACGAAGGGGACCAACCCAGAACGCCGCGCCGGATGTAGACCTGGTAGATTCGTAGTTCGCGAGTTTTCTGACAGCATCCCATTCCAGGTGATTTGTTGCATAAATTCGTTAGTGGCCTGCATAGAGACTCTGCTACTTCCTTAAGTAAATAAGTTTATTCAGGTACAAGTGCACATAAATACAGTTACATAAGTATCACACATCGCAGCATATGTCTAAATTATTTAGGATAACTCCAAAAAGGTTAGGCAAAGTGACTTATTTCCATTGGGATCCCCATTATTGGCTTGCAAAGGATTGCTGCCATTTCCTTCAGCATCCATGGGGGAGTTTTTTCTTTATCTCGATATTTAGAAAATTTCCTTTCCTTCTCAGTGAGTTCTCCCATATTCGTAAATCTCATTGAACGCTTGTTAATTTGATGTTAATGTGGCTGAGTTGTAGTTTAGTATTTTTTTTTAGCTTTAGTTAACATGGGATTTTTAACATTGTCCTTACACGTCTTTCCTAATATTAAAGTGTTCTTGATGTCCGGTGTGATTCTTGTACTACAGTCCTCCAGTGTAGGTCAAGTTATTAAGTGTGCCCTCCTACAGTGTGTGAAGCCAGGTTATACCTTCGTGCAGTATGTGACGCTAGGTCATACTTTCCTGCAGTGTGTGAGGCCAGGTCATTCCTTCCTACAGTATGTGAGGCCGGATCATACCTTCCTGCAGTGTGTGTGA